CCCCTAGATTTGAGAGGAGCAATCCTCTGAAACATGAATCTCAAAACTGAATTTTAAAGATTTGCCAAAGCCAGCTGGCCTCGGGAATATCATAGTCTTGTTTTTCCATGATGATCTCCATGTGGTTTGGAAATCTGACAGACAACTAGTCACAATATGTTTTGTTTTTTCATTCAAGTCCAATTACCCCTTTGATCATGCAGTCTCTTCAGAATTTATTTGCATTGCCAAAGTGTAGATAATTTAGCTTTTGCTGTTGTTTACATAGGTGGATACTGTCGCTGTGTTGTAGGCCTACTGTACCCATCTGTTCAGAGTGATATATGTAGTTATATATGTACTACTATTTTTACTGGATATTGGAAGAATAATGAAATGATAGTATTTCCTTGTTGAGACATACTTTTTTAGGATCACTTGTTTTAATTAGCTGCGGTTTATGTACACCAGCTGTGTGGTGACGCTGGATATTTGCATGACTTGAACAGAAAGCTTTGTAGTGGCAGCATTTGTAGAGAACAGCCTTCGCTTTACTGGGAATAATGGATGGCTTTGGATCAGGCCGGATGTTTCAGCCAGACACCAGGTTTCTGTTTTCACTCCTTGTTAATGTTACAACAGGTTGCTTGGCAACCCCCACCCCCCACCGCCGAACCCCCTGTCTGCTTTCACCGTCTCCTGCCATTGGATGAAGTGGATGGGGAAATTAAGTGTTATGCGTTGGCTTTTCAAGGTCGGTGGCGCACAAAACCCCCGCCCTGATCACGGATGCACGTAAACAAAACCGTGAAAAGATAATTTATGCTTTGGTGACAGATTTAAGCAGCGCCCGCCTCCACTGCCGTCACAAGCACCACACGTCCCACACCAACCCCAAACCCCCAACCCACCCATGTCAGCGCTGATGGAAAACACCAGCATCGCAGCATTTGCTGGCAGATAGTTTAATGAGAATCAGCACACGTCCTTACTAAAAATCTCACAGACCAATCCAAGATTTCTCAAGTGACACTTGTACGCCACAGCTTTCTCAATCGCTCACTGCAACATGTAACAAAGAGTAAGGACCATCGAATATTTTGCCACCACCTGTGAAGCGGGGCTGTTACAGACAGAGCTGCCTGCCTCTGTTTGTTTCTGGGTGTGACGGGGACGAGTCAGGCTGCACCGGCATTCCTGAAATAGATGGATGATGGGGACCAGTTGGAGTCCTGCTGCACGCTCATTTCACACGAGGATGCCTTCATAGCACTTAAAATTGCTGGATTATCGCATCGCTGTTTATATTCACGTTTAGCCGCCATATCCTATGACTCAATTATCAAGTAGTGCTGTCACATAGGCGCTCGGAGAGTTATATTAGGGAACACGCTCAGAGCTTCCAGTCCCTGTCAGACTCCAAACATTCAGCGGAGATGAGGAAACACTCTGTGACAATGATTTGAATTGTCAGTGCCGCTCACCTAATGTGCAAGTACCTCCCATTATCTAAGCCGGGAGGAATCTGTTGTGCACAGCTGTGCTCATTATGGAGTTATGAGATTAAATAAACGCCATGTCTTATTCATACTACCAAATTACATACCTCTCTACTGTCTTATGGACTTTATTTTTTTTTCCAATTATGTCACTCTGTTTTCATCTGAAACTTTTTAAACTAAACTCAGCTCCTTTAAAAGTAAACTATCTGAAAGTCCCTTAAGGAGACACTGCAAAGCTAGTTGGATATTCAGTGTTTATCCTCTCTGTGAGGCCTGTGAGCCAAGCTCTCTCACTCTTGGAGTCAAGCCTGGAGCCCTTGCTGTGAAGATGTATCACCCTGGGTAAATTGTCAGCTCCCTGACATTCTTATTACGCTGGCTCTAAAAGCCTAGCAGGCATGTTAGAAGGAGCCTGGCTCTCTAACACAGTGTCTGTAACAGGCGGTTTGGTCCATGCAGCCAACTGCAGTCCTCCCCAGGACCTCGGCACGTACCAGCCAAGTGTTTCCTGTCCCGGGGATCTGGCCATGGTCACTTCCAGTAACTGTCTGGGCTTCTCGGGGATGCGTTGGCAGGTTGCTAGCCTCTCTGAGCGATGGGGAACACATCATACAATGACAAGTGTCATGAGTGTGTTTGTTTTCCCTCCAAAAAGGACCTTTTTATCTACAGGTGAAGAAATATCCTCAAAATAAGCCCTCAAATATGATAGTGATACCGTAGGATCGCTTTAAACTCTTCTTCAAAGAATTCAAAGGCATAGAAGCTGTCTTCATACAACCCCAGCTTAAGCTCCTTCCATTATCAACACAAATGTGTAATCCTGTTCTCAGGACTGTAATGAGGGTAGTGTGTAAGTTACATACATTTCCTTTTATGCTGCAGTTGTTTGAAATGAACTTCAAATAGCTTTGGTTGAGGAATGTGTAGAATCCAAGGCTGGTGTCCAGTGTGGAAGCTGTTTATGGAAGAGAGTGGGGAGGGTTGAAGGGTAGGTGGGGGGTCTCTTCTCAATTAGGAGGATAAGCTGCTGCTCCGGAGCAGCCATTTCGAGCCATGTTTGGAGCTGTTTGGTGGGATCTGCACACAGCACTGGATAGCTTCTCCCCTCTCTGCCATTTGTTGACAAAGCAGAAGTCAAACTGCGTTACGTAACAGCTCTTTCTCTCCGTCTATAGTACAGCTGAGCGTGTGAAGAGAGCTCTTTTGTGTTGACATGGCTCACTTTTAAGGCAGCCTCTGACTGTTTCACAGAGACCCCTACCCCCCATGGAGGGAATGCATTGCAGTTCAACTTTGTATCACCCTGCTCTGTTTCGATTTGAAAATGGACAGACAGGAAATTTAGATAATCCATAAGATCATACAGATAGAGTAATCTGTGGTGCCTGTAAAAATGCTCCAGGAGCTTAAATATTGAAGTCATAAATCGATTCAGGGAAAAATCTATTTACATAAGAGCATGTAGGGTTTTACACTAAGGTTAGAAGTGATAAGTTAGTCATTTTGGTTAGTAAACTCCATTCACAAACAAGTGATGCACAGAGTTTTAAAATAATGCCAAATAATAATCTAATAAAATAGAAATAGCAAAAACACAGTGAGCTTGACGCACAGTTTTGTCAGACAACTTCAATAAAAATGCTCCAAAAGGAAAGTGCCAAAACTACAAGCAAAGCTCGAGGTCCAGTTTAAGATAAGGCTCAGACGAAGAAAATCTGTACAAGACATTGTGTAATTACACAGGGAAAAAAGAATAACAAATTACAGTATGTGTCTATATGAAAACTATCCATCCATGCATCCATTTTCCAGTTTATTGAGCCAGGGTCACAATGTGACTGGAGCCTGTGGTATCCAGCATTAGGTGAGAGCCAGGGTACCCAACGGACAGGTCGACAGCCATTCACAGGGTTAACGCAGAGAGACAGAAAACCATTCATGCTCACGTTTAGAATGATGTGCTTGTCTTTAGACTGGAAAACCTGTACAGGCACAGAACATCCAAACAGAAGGACAATAATGTTAAAAATTAGGTGCTTTGTTGGGTTTTGTTTATTATTACACTTTAGGGAGCAAACCTATTCAAGGATGAGAAGAAAACAAGAGAGGCTTTTAGGCTGGTTCGTAAAGTAAATACAACTGCTAACATCTTTAAACACCCCACCTCCCACTCCGTGTAAATATCTGAAATGTTTCTCAAGCAAGTGGAGAACTGCATGGATATTGCAAAATTTCCTTAAAAAATTTCTATTATGTGTCGATCCTGGACGGACGGATGGATGGATGGACGGACGGACAGACGGATGGATGGATGGAACAACCAGGACATAAAGAACAGGGTCTATGACTTATTTATACAGATAAATTCGCGGGCTCTTTTCTGCATTGAGCTTGTTAAATCATCAGGGGAAAAAGGGTTGTCAAAGATTATATAAGTTGTTGAAATTTCTCTTCCTAACACGGCGATGTTCCATGAGAAAAAAATGTAAATATTTGTTGGTACCATTATATAACTGAAGGAAGTTCTCCCTGATCCAGGGAGGCAAAACTTTAAACAATAAAATCAGATGTCCTGTGGACACAAAGAGCCACCCGCATCATTTAGTAGGACGAAGAGTGGCTCAATCTTGACTGTTTTGTGAAAGATTTTAGCTAAACTCCTTGGTAACATTTTTTTTTCAGTACCTCAGTGTCAAAGGCCTTTGCCAGATACCCTTTTCCCTGTTTTTATTGATATTAATACAGTAAACAATGTAGTTTTCCATCATAGAGTAAGATAAATTTCATGTTTAAGAAGCTAGATTAATGCTGGGAAACAAAGCTTTCCATCAATCTTAAAATTATTCAAGATTGTGGGGAAGATAAGATTCAGGATTTCAGAAAGTACTCAACGTGAAAACAGAGAAAGTGGCCATATTTTTTCTGTTTTATATGTAAAACTTTTAAATGAATCAGCAACAAGTGTTTGAATACTGCCCTCGCGCCGGGAGGGAGCCTTTCTTTTGAATCAGGGATTCTGGGAACCCATCAGCTACTGTGCTGGCTAAGCTTCTGGGTGCAATGGGCCTTGATGAGGGGGGCTTTCAGTGTAGCCAGCCAGTGGGCTTAGAGTTCTATTTCTGCCTGCCAGCAACTGTTTACGAATGCAGGTAAATTAAAAAGAAAAAAGCCAATAGAATCCTCGTCACACGATGGCCCGCTCAGACGTGAGTTGTGAATAGCGCTGGGACTGCAGGCAGATTCTGGGAAACCCGAAAGCATCTGTGGCATTGAGGACCGTATGGGTGGCTGAATCATCCAGTAGCAAATTGCAGCTATCATCTTTGGTCTGCCTCTCTGTCTCTCATCTGCTGTCCTGCGTGAGCATTTTAAGAGGCAGGAGGATTTCCACAGTTGTTGAGTGGGTGCAACATTCCCAGGTGGCATGTGGTGACAGGTGCATCTGAACACGCCTGTTGTCGCAAGCAAACAGACCCCCCCTCCTACATAGCGAAAGGTCAAGGTCAACCCTGGGACTGTTCCGCCCACATGAGACCCTCAAAGCTCGGCCGTGCGGCTCACGGGGCTTCAGAGGATCCTGATGTGCGTCGTGGAATAAGGGCTGTTTGTACACATCATCAGGAAGGTAATGTATCTCTCTCTCCAGACATGCAGTGACGCCTTGGGGTGGTCGTTGGCTTTTATGAGTTGTTTGTTTTGGCAGTGTTGGTCACACCAGGGAGCTTTCGTTCAGTAGGAGGTTTATGTATCTGTGTGTGAGAGAGAGTGTTGTGTTGTAATGGAACTGAGAGATGCATATTAGATGAATCATCTGGGCTTTGCTGCTTTTAGATAATGGCAGAGGTCAGAGCTGAGAGGGTGTTTCACTGACTGTGATGTGAATATAATGACACGTACCCTGTTAATTGTTAAACTGTGAATTTGAATTTAACTCTTTTTTTGGTAAATGTTATAAGACTTAGTTTATACATGTCAGACTTGTTTTGTTTTGGGGGGGGCGGGGTTCTGAGAAATCAGCACAAATAGCACTTAATAGCACATCCGCTCGCTTTAAAAAAAGGAAAGTCAGGCTGTCTTTGGAACCTTTGAGCCACTAACTCAAGGCCCACTAACTGGTCTGCTGAACTTTGAACAAATTCAGCAAATAGTGACTTAACTTCATATCAACTAAGCCAAATAGACTCATAACAGAACCCTCTTCCTAAAAAGGCCAGGGATGATCTCTGCTCTGTGTGTTTATACAGCAAACTAAACGCTGTCAGCTGTCATATTCGCTCTATCTGTTATATGCCAGAATTTCAAACACACTCAAAATGCTCTTTCTACTGTAAATTCTCCATCTCGGGGTTCATGTGAGGATACAGCGGAAGCAGAACTGAGATCAGCGTAAGCACTCCTCAAAGGAATGCCTGTTAATGGTTTTGGAAATGAGATCATAGATGCTTTGCCTCTCCGGGATGCAGGGGGTCAAGAAGCAAGCTGATTTTATTAAAGAGGGATGGGAAATAAACACACAGTTTCTGATGCTCAGGGACGGCTCAGCTCCAGTACTGGAAGACGTTTAAAAAGGTTTTTTGCTTTGTGTCTCCTTGGGACTTGTTTGGAATTGCTCCCATTTTCCCTCATCCATTTTAGGCCTGTTTGTGGAGGCTTCCAGCTGGAACATCAGCCTGTTCTGCAGGTTGGCTTATTTACCGCCATGTGTAAACAGAGAGCACACAGTGTCCCACGCAAACTCAGAAGAAAAGGAACAACTTTAAAAGCAGCTTAAAATTTTCATTGCAGAGTAAATTCTAGATGGCTTTTGCTGCTCTGGCTTTTCCTCACTGTTTTCCTCTTAGTTTACAAATGAAAATGAAAAGAAAACACTCTTTGTGTCTGTTTGTGTATATGAACAAGTGACTGTTTGAGTGTCTTGGTGAGTTTGTTTGCAGTCTTAATCAGTCTTTTTCTTGGCATTTGAAATGGGGATGTCTCCTAAATCAGCCATGCTGCCTGAGCACAACGGCCAGATGAGCAGTAGGAAGTTTCACAGATACTTTTATGGTGGCCGTGCTCTGACTTCTGCATGCGCCACTGCTGGAGCTTAGAGCAATACGGGTTACTTTTCTCCTTTCTTGTTGTCATTAAAGGGAAGCACATGTGCAATTTTTGAATTTATATCAAAGTTGAAAGTACTGAAAGTACTGAATTTGATTCTCAATAATCTTATCTTAATTATCTTTGCTGAGTAACAGTGGAATTGTACTGCAAGAATGCATTGAACAGATCTTTGTGGCATCTGATCCATGCTACCGTTTGGATGTTTCCCTGCAACTTCTGTAATCTGTAACATAAGTTGTAATGTCTCTCTGGATGGAAAAAAAATCATTATATATTATATAGACTGTGCTGTATTATGTTCTAAGCAAACAATGGCTATTGGCTTGAGTTTGAAAGTTTTTCTGAATTAAACAACACTTTGAATTACTAATATAACTTAATGTGAAAGAGTCTTCAGATGATTTAAACAGATAAAGTTCGCTGCCTTCCTGTGTTGTATCTCATTTCAGTGTGTAACCCAACCACAGAGGCACAACCACAGTTTCATTAGCTGTATGTGGTTCCTCATTAAAGCTGTCTTTGCAGTGCCTTCACTATTAATGCCAGTGCTAAAGCAAATCTTACTCGTATAAGACATTTTCTGTGTATGTTATATTCCTTCAGTGCATACAGTCATCCATTCTAACAAGCAGAGACTTGGCCTGGTTATCAAATTCATTCTCCTCAGTCCATCTGATGTGAAGTTTATTGAGAATGATGCAGATGTTTCCACTGCTGTGGTGCTACATTTGTCAGACTAAGTCATGAACATTGGAGAGAAGCGCAGGTGGCTGTAGATTAAAATGAACATTAGTGGATTTCTTTATAGGTGCCCATAGATCCAAACCCTTTCATCTCTTCCTGCTAGGACCTGAAATGAATTGAAAATTTTGTTTTGTGCCTCCAACAAAAAGTTATTTAGTTGTTGTTCATAATTTTTTATTCTGAATTCTGTCAGGATCTTTGTGTAGCTGCAGGTTAATAGTTAATAATACATCATAGGAATCTATCTTGGGGAATCCTCCTATTTAATAGTCTTCCATGTGTTTCCCTTCCAGGGCTCTCCAGCAGAGGGCAGCGTAAGACCAAGCGCAACTCCCAGTAAGTCAGCTCTCAGTCTAAGCC